ACGAGTGGGTAACCAAGTTTCCGTACCTTCACCCTCTACAAGCCCAAATACTGTACCAGGACCACCTACAAGATTGACATCATCTACAAAACAAGGACCCTCCTGGGATCCAAGACCATCTTCAAGTACCGTCTTATAGCAATCAAGAGGTACATCTGCTCCTTCACAATTGGCAGCTATTACAATCCTGGTGGAATCTGGAAATAAGCTGTGATTTGTTACACAAAATGAAAAATGAACATAAAATAATTATTTTGTATTGCATATTAGGACTTTTTATATAATATTCATTTTGTTCTGATTAAATAGATAATTTAAATCAATATTAAATTTTTAAAAAGAAACTTTAAATATTCTTCAAGATTGGCACCAAAAATGGCTACGAGTAAAGCATTTTCTGATAAGCATTAAGTACATAAGCATTGGTTAAAAGAATAAGTCATCAAAATCTTATAACTAGTTTATATATATATAGTCTGTCACTGTATCTATATCTTTTTCAAAACTACTGCCATAAATACATCTAACAATCAAAATAATCCCTTGATAATGTGCATGTCAACATACATCCCCTTCATCAACTTTTAATCCAACAAGTCTGAATATAGAGTCTAGAGACAAAGTTCACATACCCTCTAGATTGCTATTACCATAATGCTAAGTCATGGCAGAACTGCACCATTGAAATACAATGATCCATCCAAATCCCAGTTCAATAAATTAGTAATTAATCTTTAGCTCAAAGTACAACCAGTTGCATGACCTCTGTTGCTTTTATAATGGCTTAATGAAATTAGTAAAGACTAAACAGATTCCATCAATTATAATATGGAGGTGTTTGTAATAGTAAAAGGAAATTGAATTTCATTTCTTGTTATTAAGTCTAAAACTGCCATTACCACAATAACCTCATAAACTATATCCTAATCAAAGCTAAGTCTATTAATAAAGGTTTTATGCACCATACATGTAAATTGAAGACTATTACTAAAACTAATTGGAGTCTGAGTTCATAATTATGTAATTCACCTTCAATTAATAAAATTTGAGAATTTATTAGTGCTTTACAAGAGTCTTTGCATTAAAAAGTCACTGAATCATGAGGTAAATATCATGATTACTTCTACTGGTGATGTACTTGTTGGCATATCTTTGAATCAATTAAGAGACAGTGAGTAGTAGCTACCTCATGTTGACTTTAAAATGTGCAAACAACTTGTATAGGTCACATTGACAGCATTCCATGAAAACAGACTGTCAAACAGTGACACATCATTAATTAGTTTAAGAGCACCCTGTTATCACATTAGACTATCAGTAATGCACTTAGGACTGGCACAAATGTTGTAGATGGCACATGGTATGACTTGTTTATACCCAAACTGGCAACAGTGAGAATTCAGAATCAAAGAAAAACAATGATAATTATGACAACAGTACATTCAAAATCAAATCAATGGTACAAATTGCTTCCTTGATGACAAGACTATAAATTGAGGCTGACCTCTATAACTTGTTCATCCATCCATCAGAAAGCAAACAGACTTAAATACACTAGAAATAGTCTAATAGAGTCTAACTCTGCTAAAATGATGAAAGCTATTTGTGTTTTACTGCTCCTCTTATGTGCTTGCCAGGCATTGGAGAAGGTACACTGTGCACATTTCAATAAGTAATAGTAA